GTAGACACAATAGCCTGATGATTGGTGGTGTCATGGTCCGGGGAAGATAGGATGAATTATTTGAGAGTTGTGGCCTAAGCTCCGCAATGAAGCGGTCGGTACAGCAGATGACAACAGCACCACCCTTGTTAGCAGGCTTGACTGCAAAGTTAAGAGTTCAGTCTGAGAGCATAGAGTGCAGTCAGTTCAGAGAAAGAGAGGTTAAGGTGACCAATGTCATGTCAACAATGTTCAATGAACAGAGAGTGCAAGGAAAAGGCCAGGGTGCAGATGGAGGGGGTGTGTTGGAGGTGGGTGAAGGGGTTTTTGGGATGAGGAGAGGACTTTTGCCCAAAGGTTTGGGCACAGAGGTGCAGGTGACAGAAAAAAGATACTCCAACTATCTGAAGTTCATTTGAGGTGGGGTTGCAGGGGATAAAACTAAGACCTTTGCTGAATACAGAACATTCAGCACCAGAGTGTGGAAGGTCAGAAGTATAGTTAAACACTGGAGAAGAGCTGGGATTAGGAGAGGGGATGGAGTTAGAGGGAAAGGGAAGAAGTTTCCAGAGGAGTGTGGTCATCTCGGAGTTGTTGCATCCTGCATTCCTTAATGCTTGTTAGAATGTTGAATGAACCAGAGGATGAAGTGGAACTTGGGGACAGGGCAGCTATGCGCCAGCGTGAGTCAGCGCTGATGGACAGCGGGGTCAGGAGCATGCATATGACATTGAGTGGAATCTCGGAATGCAACAGGAACAGTTTTCTGAGGAGAGTTGTACCCTCACAGAGATGCCTGTCATCCTGAGTGGATTGAAAATATGAAGGATAAAATTTCAGTTGGAATCCACACAGAATGAGTCTTGAGACTATGAGACAGTCACCGAGGAATGGGATGTGGCTGTGGAAGCAAGTCTTAGCAAATACGTTGTCAAAAACCAGGAGTGAAAGTGAAAGTAATAATGGTGAACAAGAAACAAAGATTAGAATGTAAATCCTGTCCAAGAGAGGAGCAGAACTTCTTCAAGGTGGGCATACCTGGAAGAGATGTGGCAGTGAGTTAACCACTAATATAAACCAAAGAACTGTGGATGCTGGAAATCTGAAACAAAAACAAATTGCTGGAGAAACTCGCCAAGTCTGGGAGTTCTGAAGAAAGGTCACTGGACCCAAAACATTAAGTCGTCTTTCTCTCCCATAGACCATAGAATTCCTACGGTGTGGAAAGAGGCCATTAGGTCCATTGAATCACACCAACCCTCTTAAGAGCATCCCACTTAGATCCAGCCCCGTAACCCTGTATTTACCATGGCTAATCCACTTATTCTGCATATCCCTGGACAATACAGGGCAACTTTAACATGGCCAGTCACCTAACCTGCTCATCTTTTGACTATGGGAGGAAACTGGAGCACCCAGTGAAAACCTGCACAGACACTGGGAGAATGTGCAAACTCTATAGTCACCTAAGGCATATGCTGCCAGATCTGCTGAGTTTCTCCAGCAATTTCTGTTTTTATTTCTGATATCCAGCATTTACAGTCCTTTGGTTTATTTTAGGTAAAATAGATGTTGATCCTCTAGACATCTGATTTGCAGCATTAACTAGAATTCTTTTTGTATCTTATATAGTGAAGACGGAAGCAAAATAATTGTTCTTTTCATCCATATTTCCTTAATATCTACTAATAATTTTCCAATCAATTCTAGTTCTAGCTATAAATCAGAAAGTGGAAAGGACAAAGGAACTTAGCAAGATTACAGTCATGAGCTAAGTGGTACTAAACTTCATGGAGTTGTGAGGTGACAAGTTTCCAGGTCTAGATGGAATTCATCCTAGGTACTTAAAAAGCAGTAGCTAATAAGCTGTTTGCATTTTCTTTATTTTCCACAATTCCCTTGATTACACAAAGGTTCCATCAGACTTGGAAAGTAACAAATATCATACTTCTGTTCCTGAAAGGAGAGAGACAGAAAATGGGAAATTACAAACCAGTTAGCTTACATCTGTTGTGGAGAAGGTGTTAAAATCGATCACTTAAAAAATGTAGCCGTACGCTTTGAAAAGCTGAAGGCGACTGGGGAGCGACAGCATGGCCTTATTAGAGGGAAAACATGTTTAACCAATTTTAATGTAGTAATTTGAAGGAGTAACTTGCTCTGTGGATAAAGGCAAACCTGTAGTTGTGCTGTACTTGGATTTCAGGAAGATATTTGATAAGGTACCACATGAAAGATTTATTGCAGGAAGTAGAAGCTCACGGCATGGGGATTACATGAGCATGAAAACATAGTTCTCTTCAGATTAGTATGCTATGACAAATGGAGCCCCATGCGATCAGTGCTGGAGCCCTGATATTTCCACTCCCCTCCCCTTCCCCCCCCACCCCCCCCCCAAATTTAGATTGATCACTTGGTTGAGGAGCGTAAAGGTGTGGCAGATCAATGGGTAAATGGCTCAAAACAGGTAGGAAAGTATTTGGTGAAGAAGACATGAGGTTGCATATAGTTTGGTATGTGGGCTAAAAGCTAGTAGATGGATTATAATGTGAGAAATGTGAAATTCTTCGTTTCGAAAGGACAGAAATGTGTTACTTTAATGGAAAATGACTGCAGAATTCTGAGGTGTAGAAGGTTTTGATAGTTCTATTGCATCAGTCACAAAAGGTTACTGTGCAAGTATAGCATGTAACCAAAAAAGCTAATGGGATACTATACTTTATTATGAGAGAAATGGGACATGGAAGGATTTTGATGAGATTGCATTTTGAATACCATTTGCAGTTTTGGTCTCTTCATTTAAGGAAGGGTATAAGTACTTTGGAGGCAGTTCCGACGAGGTTTTTGGATTGATATCTAGAATGAGTTGGTTCTGTTAAGTGGATAGGTGGAACAGACTGGCTTTGCTTCCACTGGCCTTTAGAAGACTTTAAAGGGATGTCATGACTGAAGCAGATGAAAATAGTAGGACTGGAGGTTAACCTGAGGAACTCCTGTAGTCACGGAGGGCAGCACAGTGGTTAGCACTGCTGCCTCACAGCGCCAGGGACCCGGGTTTGATCCCGCCCTCGGGTGACTGTCTGTATGGAGTTTGCACATTCTCCCCGTGTCTGCGTGGGTTTCCTCTGGGTGCTCAGGTTTTCTCCCACAGTCCAAAGATGTGCAGGCTAGGTGGATTGCCCATGCTAAATTGCCCATAGTGTTCAGGGATGTATAGATTAGGTGGGTTATAGGGGGATGCGTCTGGGTGGGATGCTCTGAAGTTCGGTGTGGACTTATCGGGCCAAAGGGCCCGTTTCCACACTGTAGGGGTTCTATGGTTCATTTTCTTGAATGAGAATGATTAATCTCCTAACCTTAACCCTAACCCTAACCCTGCTATGTGCCCTGCACGACTCCAACCAGTGCAGATTTTTTCCTTTTCATTCCCATTGGCTCCAGTTTTGCTAGGGCATCTTGATGCTACACTTGGTGGAATGCTCCCTTAATGTCAAGGACAGTCACTCTTGTCTTCCAGTTAAGCTATTTTGTCCATGTTTGGCCCTTGGTTGTAATGAGATAGGGAGTCAAAAAGGACTGGCAGATTCTAAACTGGGTGTCAGTGATCAGGTGATTCCTTTTCAAATGCCACTTGATAGCATTTGTCAATGACCCCTTTGATTCATTTCGCTTGGTTAGACATCAGGCTGGATTTGCCTGGCTTTTGTGGACAGGGTATACCTGGGTAAGTTTCCACGTTGCTGGTGAGGTGTCTGTGTTATTGAATTAACTCTCTTGGTAATCTATATCTTTAGCCATCCAGCTAATACTAGTTGTACATAGTGTTTACAATGCTGCAGCAGTGGGCAAAGTGAGAGATGACATAGAAGTGGGTGTGTATGCAGAGCACACTTGACTGGCAAGAAGTAAGTGATTGGTTTGTGCAATTGTGACCAGTCTTGGATGCCAGAATTCATCAATCTGATGACAACTCTATGATTGTGGGGCAGCTGATGCACTTGTGTCTGTGTGAATGGTTCATGGAGCTTGCGCACGGTCACTCTCGCTCGCTGTCACGTGCTCCCCCGCTGTCTCTCTTGCTCTAATTCCCTGCCACTGGCTTATTTTCTATATTGAGAGAATTGGAGTTCGCCATTTTCACTTGTATTTTGTTCTTGTGTCTTGTTATAATTTGTTTGCAAACTTGCTCCAGCTTTCCTCCTTCACAATTTTTGGTTCATATCAAACAGTTCAGTAGGTCCTTTATTGTTTCCTGATTCTGTTTTATCCCTTCAGCCAAAGCTGTAATAATTTATTTGATCAATATTGCCATTCACTTTTTAAAATCATTTTTTCTGGAATACTATGTAGCTCTGAATGTAAATTTCCCAGTCATTACCTGTCTTGAACCAGGTCTGTTTTTGTCACAATATGTGCAGCGTGTACCTGCAGCTCATAATCTCATTTACTATGCCACATGCTTCTGCGCACATGCGACTCTCTATGCACTCCAGACCAATTTTAATCTGCCTCCCCTTTCCTGACCTGATCACTATTTCTGAATTATTCTTTAATCTGGTGCCAGTACCAGTTCATTATATGCCTTGTTTCTCATGTTTGATCATCCTAGAGCCCATATTTACTCAGTCTAAACTGTTTTGTCCTGAACTACATTAGGAGTGTGGATCAGACAGTGGAAGAAATAGGACTAGTATCAGTTTCATTCTCCAAATACGATGAAACTACCAGGATGTGTAAAATCTGTTTGGTCACCAATTTGTTTGCATTCTTTATTTGATGCTAAAATAAGTGAAATGATATTATTTCCAAATAATAACTGATGTCAGGTTGGTCCAGTGCTATTGAGATAGGTAATAAGTCATTGAGGAGCAGGCCTTCTATCCTGTTGCCACATCGAGTGAGGTAATTTGGTGAACATTCATTCGTGATGCTAACCTCAAGAGTTTATGTATTCTCATATAAGATGGGTGTGACGCACTGTGAAGTCATTGAATTTATGCTCTTGCTCTGTTTTGTACTAGATATCTTAATGGCAGTGCCTATTTGGTGATACACCAGCTTTTCCATGTCATTTTTGGTAAGTCCTTTCTCTTCTGCATGAATCTAAGTTGTGTGAAGTATTGTTTCACCAGCTTAATCAAGGCAATGCTGATTTAATAGTTTTCATCAAAATAATGTCATGTGAGCTAATTGACATGCGATTGAATGCTGGATGAGAAAGTTTGCATATCTAGCCGGCAGGTGAATTGTCACAAAGCACCAAATTCTTCCTTTAGTTTTCGTGAATCATTTCAGTGTTTAACACCGGTAAGACTGATACGAGACAAATTATTGCCTCTAGATTTCAAAGATCTGGAGCAGGACTGCTTAATGTAAGTTAAAGATCCCTCCACTGTTCACTCGTAGTAGAAGACCCCTCCCCCGGTTTTACACACCATTGTCTGGTAGCCTTAGCTACAGGGGCAATTTTGTCCTCCAGACTTGGGCTCACTTGTTGGAAACTTGCAGCCAGAAGTCAACATAAGACTTCAATCTAATCAGTACGGTCCTTGCTGAATCTGGGCCAGTGTTGAACATTTTGGCTCTGCCCAGACCAAGTGCAAAGATAGTTATTGTGTATTGTCTTCATTTTAAAAGAAAATCATGGGTTGATACACTTAGAAATGTTGGTTTGAAATAAACTAAGTTTGGAATATCAGTGTGAAAATCTCCTCTCTGACTTCCTGGTAGTTTTGAGTGTGGTAGGGTCAGTTGAGGGTAAAAACGAAACCTGTGATGCTATACACAGAACAGAGTTGATTCCTCTAGGCATAATTGATTACCTGTATTGTGTATAGAGGGTACCTTTTTGGTTTTTATCTTTTTGGGGCTCTGCAAAAGCAGCGTATAACCATGCTCCTGTATAATGCGCACCTAACACAGATAACGCTTCCTGATTTATTTGTTTCTGAATCCTTTCAAAACATCCAATTACTTATATCATAACTGTAGTTATTCACTTTAAATTTCTTACTCTAACTTTTCTCAAAACTGTTGAATAATTCATTAAGAGTTCATAGACCTTCCTACTCATATTGTATGTACTAACCACGAAACCTTTGTTGCCATTATTTGTCTAGTGGTGGGTTGACTTATGGATACTCCACTTAACATATTTCCTCCAGCTCCTACTTATTAGTTATGACGGGAAGAATGTAAATTGTACAGAGCTGTTCATTATTTTGCATTTCACACTTGCTCTGGAAATGAGATGTATGAACCAACTTTCTCAATGAATTTTAAATACAAAGATCGTTTCTGTGTCCTCGGTTATTGCCCTTTCCCAGCTGGGAAGCGGAGGACCTGGGGCATTCCTTGTATTGGCAATTCAGTGCAATTCCCCTGTGTACCAAGGCCTAAGTCAAGGGGTAAGAGCCATCAGCAAAACAGTGCAGTGTGTTCTTTTCCTTCCCCAGGTCCTAGAGCAGTTCTGAAACTCCAGACCCAGTTGATTTCTCACCAAGGGTGATAGTTGAGATGAGGGAAGCTACTTAAAGAAAACAGAGGGAATGATAAGCAAGATATGCCGAGTATGGATGCCATTTTCTCCACTAACCTAGTGGATTATTCTGAGAACCATATTTGGTGTGCCAAACGTGTTTGTTTTAGCTGAAAGCAAGCCTTTCAGAAGCTTTACCCAAGTAAAAGTAAGTTTTATGGGGCAGCACAGTGACTCAGTGGTTAGCACTGCTGCCTCTCGGCACCAGGGACGCAGGTTCAATTCCAGCCTTGGGCAACTGTGTGTGGAGTTTGCACGTTCTCCCAATGTCTGCATGGGTTTCCTCCGGGTGCTCAGGTTTCCGCTCACAGTCCAAAGATATGCAGGTTAGGTGGATTGCCCATGCTAAATTGCCCATAATGTCTAGGGATGTACAAGTTTGGTGTATTAGCCATGGGAAATGCAGGGTTACAGGGATAGGATAGGTGGGTGAGTCTGGGTGGGATGCTCTTCAGAGAGTTGGTATGGATTTGTTGGGCCAAATGGCCTGTTTCCACACGGTGGGGATTCTGTGATTCTTTGACAAGTATGTTATTATAACTTATTGTCCGAAATACAAGTATATATGCAACACAGACATTTGGAGCAGAAGATTGGTTGGACTTTCCTCTGACATCCAAAGCTATCTGTCTATTTCAAAAGCCTGTTGCTGCAAGCTGTCAGTAAACCTAATTGTTAGCACTTAACTACTCAAGATGTCCAATAGATTATCACTTGGGTTCCAATCATGTACAGGTGCACAATGATGAAGTGGCAAAGTACTGGAGGATTGTTTATGTCCAGGGCCCAGTTGGCCGCAAATCACCATCTCTAGAAAAGGATTGAGGGGAGATATTTAGAAGAGGGGATGCAAAGTCACTAATTTGTACCCTCAACCTGAAGATGCATGCTGCAGACTTGGCAAAGTAATGAATTGGAACAAATTGCTCATCAATTTCTCGTCTTGCTTCTCGGATTGTTTTCTCATTATTTTGGAGTGACTAAACTCTTGTAAAAGCAGCAGCAGGTTGCAAAAAAAGACTGCTAATTGTGATTTCTCATCTCTGTCTCTTTTACTTATCGGACTTGCATGATCTAGAGGTGGGTGTCTGAGAAACTGAGCGTGGAGAGCCTGCAGGATGTGGGACTGTTTGGTGGTAAGTTAAATTTGAGTCCTTGCTGTTTACGGTGTATAGCGCAGATAACTGAGGTGGGAAAGGAGTGGTCATCCATAAGGGACAATGACAATACCTTAGAGTATCTTTTACAATTTCTGTATCTATCACTTTTCCTATGATTTTTGCTGTTTCTTCTTCTCATTCCTATCATGATATCAGTGTGCCAAAGGTATTTTTGAGTCAAAGGGAATTGGTAGTGGTTCCTGTCCCTCAATCAATAGCATTCTGCAAATAACTCTTAAAATAGCATTTAGGGGGCAGAGAATAGTTCATAATCCTTAATGAGCCAAGTCATTAAAATAATCCTAAACATACGCTTTCACAATGCATATTCCACTACAATTTGTAACCTGATTTTTCAGTTTCTTTCACTGTACCATTAAAAGTAAAGTAAGGTAAAGCCGCCGTGTCCCAGAGGACCATCGGGCAGCTCTGTCATTAGAGAGAGATGACTAGTTGTGGTTTAACCTGAGGGTCAACATGCCTCGGATGCAGAGAAGGAGAGTCCTTGGGCTATTTGATTGGCGTGATGCGATGAGAAGTGTGTCACAGGGATTAGTGCTGGAGCCTCAACTTTTAAAAACAAAAAAAGTTACATGAACAATGTGAGTAAGTTTGCTACATTTGCTGATGACACAAAGATAAATAGAAAAGTACATTGTGAAGAAGCATAAATAGTTTACAAAGAGACATAGATGGGTGACTTAATGTACAAAGATTTAACAAGTGGAGTATAATGGGGATGAATGTGAAATCATCCATTTTGCCTGGAAGAATACAAAAGAAGCCAAAAATCTAAATGATGAGAGATTGCCGAACTCCGCAATTCAGAGGGATCTGGGTGTTCTAGCGAATGAATTACAAATCATTGTGCAGGTGCAACAACTAATTAGGGAAGCTCATAAAATATTGTTTATTTGTGAGGGGAATTGTGTACAAAGAAGGAAGATTCTGCTTGAATTATACAGGGAATTGGTGAGAACACTTGTGAGTAATATGTGCAGTATTGGTTATCTTATTTGAGGAAGATGTAAGTGTGTCGGGAGAAGCCCAGATTAATACCTGGAATAAGCAGGTAGTCTTGTGAAGAAGAATTGGACAGGCTCGACTTCTTCTAACTTCTGGATTTTACAGTAAGAGGTGACTTTGTTGAATCATAAGATCCTGAGGGGTCTTGACAGGGTTGTTGTGGACAGAATCTACAACTCGGAGAGCCCTTGTTTCAAAATAAGGGATAGTCCACTTAAGATAGATGAGAATTTTTTTCACACAGGGTCGTGAGTCTTTGGAACTCTATTCTCAAAAAGGTGACAGAAGCAGAATCTTTGAATGTCTGTGGGGCAAAGTTAGATTCTTAACAAGCAAGGGGGGAGATATTAACTAGTGGAGGCTGGAATGTGGAATAATCTGATCAGCCATGACCTTGTTGAATATAGCAGTCTCAAGGGGCTGAAAAGCATACTTCTCCTAATTTATAATTGTGCTTGTTGTATGTCATTTATCTAACTTGGGATATTGCTGCAGGAGTTCCTCAGTGTGGTATCCTAGGCTCAATCACTTTTAGCTCTTCCATCAATAAGCTTCCCTCTGTTAAACGATCAGATGTGGGGATGTTCACAGATGTCTACAGTGTTTATTATCATTCTTGACTCCTCAGTTACCGAAGCAGTCAGTGTCATAGTCATATAGCGCAGAAAGAGACCCTTCAGCCCAACTTGTCCACGCCAATCATACATACCAGTCTGACCTAATCCCATGTGCTAGCATTTGGCCCGTATCCCTACTAAACCCTTATACCCATCCAGATGCCTTTTAAATGTTATAATTGTACCCACCTCTACCACTTCCTCTGGCAGTTCGTTTCATACACGTATCGCCCTCTGCGTGAAAAAAATTACCCCTCGGGTCCTTTTTAAATCTCTCCCCTCTCACCCAAATCTATGTCCTCTAGTTTTGGACTCTCCCACCCTAAGAAAAAGACAGTGGCTAGTCACTATGTCCATGCCCCTGATGATTTTATAAAGCTCTCAGCCTCTGACTCTCGAAACAAAAAAACCCCAGCCTATTCGGCCTCCCCCATAGCTGAAACCCTCCAGTCCCAGCAACATCCTTGTAAATTTTTTTTGCACCCTCTCAAGTTTAACAACATCTCCCCCTATAGAAGGGTGACCAGAATTGTACATAGTCTTCTAACAGTGGCTTCGCCAATCTCCTGTACAGCTGTAATCTGACCTCCCAACTCCTATACTCAGTGTTCTTACCAATGATGGCAAACACCACTTTTACCATTCTGTCTACCTGAACTCCACGTTCAAATAACTGTGTACTTGCACCCTTGGGACTCTGTTCAGCAACACTGTCCAGGGCACTGCCATTAACTTCCCTGGTTTGCTTCATCAAAGTACAACACCTCGCACTTATCTCCCAAATATAATTTGACTTAAAAAGCATTTAGGTTTGGGCTGATCATTAACAAGTAGCATTTGCTGCACACAAGTGCCAGATTACATGTATTTCCAAAAAAAAAGGACCTAGCCATTGCCCCTGGATATTTAACCACATTACCATTGGTTATGTTCTCTCTTGTTGGAGATAGTTAGTTATTGCTGAACGTTTGTGGCCCAAATACGACTTGCCACTCATGAGCCAAAACCTGGATATTGTCTTGGTCTTGCTGCATTTGGACAAAGATACTGCTTCAGTATTTGAGTTACAAATGCTGCTGAACATGATGCAATCATCTGTGAACATACCCACTTCTGACTTTTGATGGAGGGAAGGTCATTGATGAAGCAGCTGAAGATTCCTGGGCCAAGTATACTTGCCTGAGGAATTCCTGCAAAGATGGCCTGGGGCTGAGATGATTCACTTCTAACAGTTACAACCATTGTTCTTGATGCAAGCTAAGACTTTAACCAGCAGAGATTTTTTTCCCCTTGGTTCCCATTGACTCTAGCTTAGCTGGAGCTCCTTAAAGTCAAACTTTATTGAAGATTACCTTCATGTCAAGGGCAGTAACCTTTTATTCCCCCTGCCTCTTGAGTCAGTTTTTATGTCCATTTTTGTGGAGAAGTCAGCACCAACTGTGATCCAACCCAGGATCTTCCATCTTGCTTGCTTATACATGCCTCAGCAAGACTAGGTGGAAGTTTCCTAAGGACCTCCAATGCGTTGTAGTTTTTGTGTTTCATTTCCTAAAACAAATGAGGGGGTACCACATCTCGCCTTAGGATATCTAGTCTCGCTCTATTTGTTGTGTGAGCCTTGAAAACATCTCTCGCTGAGTCTTGTTACAGAAAGAGCTTTACGTTGAATCCACTCGGCAATTGCTGTATTGCATCTATATATGTATATAACTAAATCTCCTCCCTCTGAATCTCAAACCCATGCCATGGGGAACTCTGACTTTTGCATTGTGTTTTGACTCTGCGTATTTTCTTTCTTCATTATCGTCCCTCCCTGTGAGACACTTGCTGGAAACAAAGAATGTTTTTGAAAATCCTGTAATTCATATCTATTGTGTCTGCAAAAACCTCTGATACCTGTCAGCAAAGCTGATGTGTCAAGACATATGTAAGCCAAGTGGAATGACACTCTGCCATGATGCAGTGGCTGAGTGCGAAAGACCTCACCTTGTTAGCTTTGTACCAAAGAGAATTCATCTGTAAAACCACAGGCGGCTGGAAATGTGCAGCCACGTCAATGCCTGACTGAGGAAAGACTTAATTAGTTTGCATGGCAGTCTTTATATTGGTATTGAAAGATCACAGCTCAATGACTAACATATATTGAATGTTTTCAGTATTTACTGTCTTCATTTCTGACCTTATAACAGAGGGTCAATGAGATTAATGTTTGTGTGCTGTTTGGGTGCCATAAGATGATGATGTGATATGGCATTGCTCACGATTTCCCTGCATCTTGAGCTGCCTCAACTATCATTGGTTTAGAGTTCGCCAGCTGACTCTACTGTGCGCCCTTCAATGGTGAAAATGTTGAAAAAGCTTGTCATGGGGCTGAAAGTTAAAGGACAAGGGCTAGTTTTGCTCTGTGTGACATGACTGAAGAATGGTTACCTCGACCTTGTGTGAACTCTGAGAAATGGCATTTACAATCCTTAAGAGTGATTTAAGGTTTCTCATTTTTATTGCAATCCTGGTTGGATCTATGAAATGAAGCAGAACTTTGTCTCTTGGGGTATGAAGAGAAATGGCTTTGATTTTTGTCAATGAAGTGCTTTGCTCTCCAGGTATCAGCACCTCTCTGTCCTTGCCTAAGTATAAGCCTGGTCATTCTGTCTCAGCTGACTATTCTCCCATAGAAGGTATCACACCCAACCTAATCCTGTCCTCACCTGACACACTTCTCAGCAGAGATCACTGAATAGCAGTTGAGAGCAGGAGCCTCAACTTATATTCCCCTTTCAGTACCAGTGGCTGAGTGTCAGTGTCCAGCAGCTAGCTAGAAATCAAAATGATTTTGAATGTATAATATTAATGTAATATGACTATATTGCTTTCTTCCTTGTACAGAGAATCATCAAAATCTAAAGGGTTGGAGGTTGATCTCTACGTCTCCTCCTTCTGCTCTGTAGTTATCTGGGGATAAGTAAGCATAGATCTTCTCTTCCTGCGCACATTAGGAATTTGCTCAAACCTTGTGCCTTTAATAACTTGGCCAATCGGAGTGGACTTTTTTTTTCTGTAATATAAATTGTTTGAAATTTGGTGTTCTTGTTTTTGTCCTGATGAGTGCAAAATTGAAAAGTTTGCCAGCATGTAATTCTTGTGCCTTGTGGGAATTTTGGGACACATTTCCTGGCTCTGTGTACGTAGGCAACGTCTTTAGCTCAGGATTTATGAACTGCAGTCACTGCAGAGCATCAAGGAGGATGAGATTACAAGATCTAAAAGGTGGCCATGGCGCGCACAGTAAGAATTCGTAATAGTTGGTAAGTGGGACCCTCAAGTTGATTTGGA